AGCCGACGGCGGTGCCGGCCGCGGGCGGGCCCGTGCTGTCGCTGGGCGTGCACGTACACGCGGACACGCCCCCCATCACATTGCATTTAGACCAAGATCAGGTATACCTTTATCATATATACACACTTAACTTAAAACTGTAGTTTTTTTTCAATTTCTTTCCTATTTACTTTTATCTAATTAAAAATACTATGATAGATATATCGGTCATAAAATACCTATTAAAATTAAGTTGGACAATATTGAAATAATTGTTTACTCTACGATATTGATTAGAACAACTGCACTGTTCTGTTGCTTTTGCATCAACATAACTCATACCCGTGACCTAGAGGTGTAGGCAGACCAGTCTTTTGTTCTTAAATATTTAATTACTATTTTGAATATTTCGCGTTATATATCCGTCTGTGTACCGTAATAAATGCTGTAATATATTAATATGTTTAATGTATGCAGGTGAGCGTGTTAGCGGACGCATTGCACTGTTTGAAGCACATGGCGGTGTTGTTGCGTCGCCCCCCTGTGGCCACGCCCACGTCCACGTATACGCCCATAGCTGTTAACAAATCCCTCATAAGGTAAATTGTATTTAATTTCCTTTGTAGGTTGGTTTATTTGTATTATAGGCGTTATATATGAAATTTTATATGATGTCTTAAATATTAAAATACCTTTAATTCCAGATCTGTATCGGAGCAAGAGGAACGAGAAACTCCGTCAGAAAGGACGCCTAGTGACAATCGTTCCGATCTTATTCCAATATTTGAAGCGAGCGCTATTAAATGTAAGTTTGTGTAGAAGACGTTACTACCGACAAAACTATTTAATTAAACACTAGTTTATATGCAAGCTGTAGCTCACTTCTCCACGCGCGTAGAATAAAAAAAAATCGCCGAATTAAAAAAGAAACTTCATTTCTAGAAAATCTCATATTTTTAGTAAAAAGCCTTTTGGACTAGTGTTAAGAGAGATTAATAAAAGAAACAATTTTATACAATTTTCAGTACAAATTATTTAATCGCCGCATTATTGCACTAGGCTGCAAAACAACCAGAAAAGAGTTTTTATTGGCATGAAATAATTTCGTATTTACAGTGGAAACTAAGACGTTCGTGTGGGTGCAATGGGTGATATCTCGTGCGACAGCGGCACTGTCCACTGGCAAGGCGCGACTCGCCGCGGACGTGGACGATATTATCGCGACAATCGACCTCCAGCCCCACTACAGCCAGCTCAAACTGAAACTAGCTTCTGCATCGCTGCGACATTATAGACGGTAACTGATCCACTAGAATATAACTAATAATACAAATTAAAGTTAATCTGACCACCCCTGTGTTCCCGTCATCGTTTAACCCCTTTTCTTATAAAAAAAAAAGATGAGTTCTGGGAACATGGGAATTTTAAAACTATCTATAACAAAGTAGAGGAAGACCGAAGAGATTTCTAGATTCTGTGACTAATCTACCCCCTATCAGCACATTTGTTCTGATATTATTGATGTACAAATAGATAAATCTTACTAATATTATAAATGCGAAAGTTTACATAAATGGATGTTTCTTAGAGTTTGTAGCCTAAACAGCACAACGGATTTCGATGAAATTTTGTATAGTGGAGGATAGTCTGGAAGAACACATAGGCTACTTTTTTTTTTAATCCTACGCCGACAGAGTCGCGGGCGAAATCTAATTATATTGATTTTATATGTTTGTTTAATAATACACTTATTTTATATGTTTTTTGATATAATTTATAGATCGGAAAGCGATGAATGGGAGGCCGGCGCTATGGGCGGCCGAGTACTGGAGGCTCGGGAGCCTCTTGACTCCAAACAAGACAACCATTTCTTATCCCTCACTGTAACGCAAGCAAAGTTAGTGAACACCATTATTTTATCTAATACTAGGTGTTCCCGTGCGGCTTCATCCGCATGAAACTTTAAAATTTTTATTTTATTGTTTACATTTGTTAAATTATCAACAGCAAATGTCAAAATGACATGACAAACCTTAGCAATCTTGCTTTCTTGATGTTGGCAGCAACTTGTGGTCTCTTTCCCACATTAGGGTTTTTATTGAAATTGTTTACCACCTAAGTAATGGCGTGAAAATGTATAGCCTAAAGCGTGACGTAAGTGTAGGGCTTTTTATTAAAAAAAGACTGATTCAAAAATATGGTGTAATTGCTGACATCTTAGGCAACAACGAAGTGTGTGTTTACGCTTTATTATAATAGTATAGATAACGTCAAAATGTGTGAGAATACTGCTCTTAAGTAGAAATAACAAAATAATAATGGCTGTCATAATACTTTGTGATATGGCATTCCTACTAACCTTTTCATATGATAATTTGTTGTTTTTTTTTTTTGTTTCAGGATATCTAATTTACCAGTCAGCTGGCGAGAGGAGCTCCACCCTAAGTTATTGGAGCAAAAATCTGTAAGTTTTACAAAAATGAACTTTCAGACCTTTAAGAAAAGAGTTGTTTTGTTTTGTAAGGTAATAATATAAATATGTTTAATAATAATTTCGTTCCTCAAACTTTTCTCTTGTATTAAACGGTGACAATAATATAAAGCGATTTTTAGAGTTGTTCAATTTAGGGATATAAAAGCAAACAAACTGCAGTCTTATTTTTAAATTTTTACAGCCTTCCAAATAAATTGCAGTATAAAGTTAAACTTAGGAATAAACTGAGTATAAGCAAAATTAGTACTAATATTTGCTTATACTCAGTTTATTCCTAAGTTTAACTTCATACCGCGTATATTTGTAAGTCTGGTAGAGTTTAAAATATGTATTTACTATTTATAGAACTATTTGTTATGTCTACTTTTAAATAATGAAAAAATCAGACTAAAGCCTGGTTTTATGACACTCAAATATTGTTAAACAACCCATAACTAACTATCGAATAGTATCCAGTATTTGTTTTGGCATTTAACCTGTACTTATTTCATATTCAAGAATATGACTATTAATAAGTCATTTTTTTTTGCTACAAAAATCTCCGTCGAATTAAAGCTTCATGATTTGTTTGTTTTCATTATTTTGTTGTTTTTTTACAGCAAGGTTTAGACAGTATGTGGGAGGTGTACGTGACGCTCGCGCCGTTAGAGGCGGTGGTGCAGACGAGCGTGGTGCGACTGGCAGCGGCCGTGCTGAAACTACTGCGGCCGCGCGTCGCCGCCTGCCCCCTGCGCTCCCCGGACATACCCACACATTACGTCAACAGTCACACACAACTGTAATACACTTACGAGAAAATATAATTAACCTATTATCCTTAAGTGTTCGTCTTTCGACCACACTTTAACTAGTGTATGATCGTGGTCAAGCAAAGAAACAAACTAGTCTCAGGATTAAATTCCAAATTATATTAATATTTTGATGTCTGATAGGAAGCGACGCTTAAAGCGAAGAGTATGAGATTCTTTTCAGAATTCAGCTGTATGTGTTCTTCCAGATTATGTTTTAAAACTTTGCCAAATTTCAGCAAGATCCAGTTTGTTTTTGAGATGTGAAGTAACAAGCATCCATCCATATTACTTTTTATGTAATAAGGTGGTAAACAGGCAAACTGAATTTACCGAAAGAGCGAAGCGAACGCTAGTAGAGTCATTAAAACTATTATATTATCTAAATGTAATCGTATGCTTTATAATTTATTCATAGTTAACAATTGTTTCTTAATAGTGTTTAGAACTTTTAACAATGGTAAAGACCGCTTTAACATCTTTGCACGAATGGGCCGGCTTGCCCGGTGCCACCACTGCTTACCACGACCACACAGAAGACAGACATGAAGTGGGAGCAATTCCGCGTACAGTCTGATGTGTGGTGACGGAGGCCTAATTTTAATATCTTTCCCTTTCCACCTTTAAGAGGGAAGGATGGAAGGAAAAGTGGATTTGACGGTGGAGGAAACGCATAAGAAGGGGTAATATTCTTTTTATGTCCGTCTCTTCCTCCGTCAATTAAGGGCAAAACTCCAAATGCAAGGCCCGCTTGCTCGTTTGCCACCTTATACTATAAAAAAACTACATTATGCTAATAACTACGTAATAATTTCAGTCGCAGTGAATGGCAGCTTCCATTCTTCTACATGTCTGCTGGTGGCTTGCGGCTGCTACTTACAGAACATGGGGCTGAGAGCGCGGACGACGACACACTCATGCTTGTAGTAAGTATAATTCTAAATAGATGTTTTAGTTTTTAATACACTTTGCTTGATTTACATTTTTTTTTTCAGATCGGAAAAATCACTGTAAACCCACATCCAGAGAACCCCATTTGCAGGTATTAAAAAAAAAACAATAACTCTCAAGTAATCCCGGGTTGCTGTAGTTTTTATTTATTTTTTCATTGCCTAGTGATTCATTAGTGTTAGGTTAAACTTAATTTCAATGTTTTAATACTCGAGTCGCGTAGTTCGGAATATTTCAAGAATTTATCGAATCAAAAAAAAACTGACAGTTAAACTGGCCATAAGTCGGGTAAAAATAAATTTTGTTTTATCGAAATTAAATTAAAAAGTATATGGGCCTGACCCACCACTAGTTACTATAGAGGATCAGATAGTTTAAAAATAACGTCACTGTCAGAATACCAAAATCCTATATTTCCATCACATATTTTATACGTTGGATTGTTATTTGATAGTTTACAAGAATTGTGGGACAGGTCTTAATTGTTATGTGTTGTTAGGCGTGTAGTGAACGCGTGCGGGGAGGCTGGCGGGTGGGCGACG